CGTTAGGCTGCTTAGAAGCAGATCTCTGCAGCCAACTAATTCCTATAAAATGTGAAAAAAATACCCTATAAGAGCATTTGCTTTGCAATTAAAAAACGGATGCGATTATTCATTTAGTGATTAATTTACATATGTTTATTTACAAGATATTGTACTCCAGTTCCTGTTATTCAAAAGAAAAACTAATGATTCATTAGCGCTACGATAAGCAGCGAAGAAAACTGCCATAAAAATACTTCAAATAAAGAATTTAAATGGGTAAAATTCAGTGAAAACTCATGGGGATACAAACAGTGTTTGTGACTAATACTATAGTAGTCAAAAAATCTGGCCAAAAAAGGTGTACGTAATGCCAGATTTAACTTTAATTTAAATTTTGTGGAAAAACCGAGCAGATGTTGCCAATTATTCACAGAAAATATATATACATATATCTTCCAAGGGAAATTAACGATTCAGAACATTCGTCCCAAAGTACAGCGCTCTCTCCCATTCTCTCTCGATCAGTCTCTGTGTCGCTCACTGATCGTTGATCATTATTTCTGGCCCATCATCAGCGTCCATCAGCCAGCGAGAGCCATAGAGACAAAGGCGAATCCCACAGTTTTTGGCCATTACAGAACCCAGATTGTTGGCCATTTTTGGGGGCCAACGCGCAAGCGTAGCCCTGAAATGGGAAGATGGGGCCAGCCCAGGTTGGCTCTTGGCTCTTATGGTCATGTAAAGCGACTGACGATTCCGAGGCTGCTGTCACAGCCAGACACGATTGACAAGCCACCATTTGGAGAGGCAACGAGGAGAGCAGCTCCAGTTTTGTATTTGTTTATTTGGATTTGGATTTGAATTTCCGCTAAAAAGAGGAAGGGAAAAGAAGAAACCATCAACTCGGAAGTTGTCACTTGACAGGGGGGGGGAGGCACCACAGACATCGACAGGGACATCGGCATGCCCCATCAATCACTGAATGTGACTGCAAACTGAGTAACGAGCTGCACGACATTTACTCAAAGATACCCTCCCCCCTGACCGAGCACACAAAAAGATACAACCAACAAATAAAAAGGCAAATGCAAATGCAAATTTGTGTTTTATAACTGGAGCAGTACGCCCTCCAATTGATTACAGCTAATCCTCGCGAATTCCCCAAAGACCTTTCACTAGTAGTGGGATTGGGAGTGGCAGTGGCAGTGGCTGTGGCTGTGGCAGCTGCCACAGCTGACACTCTGTTTGTTAAACATTTTGAAAGTATATAAATAAATGATTTTAATTATTATTCTTTGCTGGTGGATGGGCCCCAGTGCCAGTGCCAGTGCCAGAGAGATGATCTCATCTTTCAATTGAAAACTAAAAATTTCATTTGCATGCATAACAAATGGATTGAAATGGAATGGAATGGAATGGTCTAGTCGGGACACATGTGAATGTGGCGGGCACTGAAAGGGGGTTGGATCCACACACACATGTGGGATCAGATCATTGAAACTGAATCAACATTATTGGAGCAATTCGTTTTTAGGGAGTGGCTGCAAGTAGTTTCGATAACTAGCTCTAGCTCCCTCTTTTGGCAAACATTTAGATCATCCAGGAAGATCCCCATGCCCTGCCCCATGGACACCACCCCCCCCCCCTGCATGTCCATTTGGCATATCTTTTAATTAAAACTAAAAACCCTCAAAGATATTTTCAGCACGCATGGGGCAAACGGCAGCAGCGGCAATCTTCACTCCAAATGTTGCATGCAAATGAACAAAAGGAGAGGGGCAAGCGAACTACAACTTCACCTACTAGCAAAGTTACAGTAGCCAGCCAAAGCACTCATTAAGTAGTCGGAAAACGTTATCCCATGCTGCCCCTACGAGTACTGCTCCCACAGCACTTCCCCTCTGCCAAGGGGCGTACGAAATTAATAGACTCTTCTACGCCTCTCTGCTACGCTCTCCCCACACTCCCCTGCACTGTTCTTCTCCCCACTTAATTATCACAAAACAACACAAAAGATACAATTTAAAATGGGCAAGTGTTTTCCCTACTTCCTCCCAGGCCTCTGCCTCTGCCACTGCCTCTGCCACTGCCTCTGCCACTGCTTCTGGCTGCGGGATGAGTTGTGCTGTGCGTGTGTCTGCTTTATTAGATGATGATAACTGGCTAATGAGTTGAACTCTGCGGCAGGCCGAAAGCCACCAACGACATTGTATGTGTGTATAAGAAACACTGACCAAATGGAGAAACAGAAACAGCGACGGAGACCAAAGTAAACTACAACTACAAGAACAACCGCATAATCCAGAAGGCGGGGGCTGGGGGGAGGGTTACGGACACCCATACTCGGAAAGCTGCCCGCACATTTTCAACATCTTTGATCTTGAGTTTTAGAGTCTTATGCTCGTGCATACTCTCTCTCTCTCTCCCTCTCTACCATGCTGCAAACGAAGAGCAACGAAAATGGGTTAAGCTTTGCCTGTCATTATAATATACGATCTTCAATTGATCTACAATTCTAGACAAGTTCTACAAGAGAAATAGTAGAAGAGAAACAAGCCAATTTTCTATTATTTTTATATGATGAATGCATATGGTATGGAGAATGTCTCCAGAATATCTCAACTTTTACAATTGTTTTTGCAGGAAAACGTTGGCTGTAAAGGAACGTTGTTAGGAACAAATGTTTTTTCGTCAATTCTGTGAATCTTTCTGAATTTTCTGATATTTTAAAACTTACTTCTTAGCTCTGTTTGCATTAACAAATTAAATAAATTAAATTATTACACGTATTAACCGTCTTGCTGGTGAATCAAGACAAATATTTTTCTATAAATTTTCAAGGCTGGAGTAAGTGCGAAACTGAAATCAAAAACTAAATCATGGAGAGAACCCAAGCATTTTGGCAGGCAAATAGAGTTTAATTTATTCTCGTATATTCATTTTTCCTTCCTACTGTAAACCTAAAGAGTATCCAATCGTCGCTGTATCCCAATCAAAGACAGATGCGGGGGGGAGATCTCTTCTTCTGTTGCTTCAGATTTAAATGTTTGTATTTGTATTTGTTTTTTTGTTTTTTTTTTTTTGGCGAAGGTGAGCAGCGAAAAACGTAAATTTGGAAGAGCCCACGAAACTTCTAGCAGACAGACAGCCGGAGAAGAGACCTTAGAGGTCTCGCAAAATAAAGAAAACGGTTAAAGATAACTGCGTTTTATTTGTTTGTATATCTGTAACTGTGTGTGTGTGTTTGTCTGCTTGGGCATGACCGCATGCAAAGCAAAGTCAGGTACGAAATCTGAAGATATATATTATATGTACATTGTACATATATATGTACATATATGTGTATTATACATACAATAAATACATTTGGCTGTCAATGGCAAATGCCTGGCATATCGTTATTAATTTATCTTCGGTGCGCTGCTTGTGCTCTGCGCTGTTTACCTTTGGGTTTTCGGATTCGACTCTTAATCTCTCCCCCCCACCCCCCACCACATTGTTCCAGAGACCGAGAGCCAGAAAAGCACACCCAGATACCCAGAGACCCGCTCTGCGATACACCTAACGAAAGAAACCGAAAGAACAAAAAAAAAACAAAACACTTGCACTTAACATTGAATTTCCGTATGGCAGTTGTTGGCATTATTTCGGATCGCCCTTCTTATCGGGGGAGAGTCGAACTATCAGCAAGGCAACGGGCAACGCTGATAAGAAGCCAAAACAAACAGCGACACGTTGGGGATGGGGGCAAAAATATATAGAACATGGATACTCCCAGGGTTCTAGCTAACCATAAATGAAACCCAAATAAAATGAGTCACAACAATTTTGGCAAAAACAATGTAGTTTGGTTGGGTTGGCCAACGGAACCTTAGTTACCCATGCAGATCGCTGGTTCCCATGACAATCAAATTAGAGATATATGTGAATATATATTTTAAAAAAATGCTTTGTTTCATTAGAACTATACTCAACGCTCAAAAGCACACGATAATAACTCAGATTAGCACAGATTCTGGCAGATCTATGCAACATTTACATATTTAACCATACTATTTGATTAATTTGGGATGCTTGTGTCACCTAAAAAGGTTTTTCTACCGATCTTTACTTTACTATATTGGCAGATCTATGAAAAACTCTGGCAATGAATCACATTTAATGTAGAAATTCCATTTGTACGCTTGTCAAACGTCTGCTAAAAATTATAATACCTCTTAGATTACCTAGAGGGTAAAGATATAGAAATAAAATACTACGGAATCAGATAAGGTGCTGCCATGTTCGGAAATGCCAACATATTTTGCTGATACCACACCCAACTACAGTAGTCCACCCAGTAGTTAAAAGAGAAGAGGATTTTCAAGTAATATTCGAGCAAAAGTAACATGAGAAATCTCCTTCCAGGGCACCTCAATCCTAATGGATCCATTTACTCATTATACAAAAGAATAAAGAAATCTCTTCGGATTTATTCCTAAGAACAAGAAAATATATCCATTATATAATCATATCCTTTCCGAGGAGAAAATAGAGCAGCCCCAAAGAGCCATTAGCGCCCTTCCATATGGCAAATAATCCAGAATATTTGCCTATGCCAAACCAGATAAGATTTCGCTGATTACGGTGATTATAAATCGGCTATAGTACAGTGGATATTCCATTCCATTGTGTTTCCATGGATTTTGCGGTCTCTCATTGATCGCACAATATTTTGGCCGCCAGTGTGTCGATTAGCACACAGGTAGAAGGAATGCAAAAGGGGTTGCAAAAACCAGAAAGACAGACTTGTCAGCCTGCAGCTGCCCCGCCACCAGCACCAGCAGAGGCAGCGGCAGCGGCAGGCAGCAGACAGAGGTGAGGGCAAGGACAAGGCGACAAAGATTGAGTTGGAGACGGAGACGGGGGCACAGGGACAAAGGTGACTCAACGTTGAGTCAACCAAAAAATACAGAGGGGGAGGTAAACAGTACCACCATTTTTTAGCCTAAGGAAATAATTAAGGCAGCGGCACTCACCCCTCCATGTCCAGGTCGACGACGGGCAATCGCTTCAGCTCCGACATGTCCAGCTCCAGGCGCAGATTGGAGACCTCGCAGAGCAAACGATCCCGCTCGACACTCAGCTCTTTGACCCTGGCATGCAGCGCATGATTCTCCCGCAGCAGATCCTCCACGCTATACTGGATCTGGGGTTGGGGCTGGGGCTGGGGTTGGGCCATCGCTCCTCCATCTATGAACTGCATCATGGAGCTGGCCATGAGCAGCGACTGTGTGGTCTGATGCAGCAGCAGATGCTGCTGCTGCTGCTGCTGATCGGGTTCTGCAGAGGACTGGATGCCAATGCGCTGAGGCGAGATTGCCAGCGACAAAGACAGGGCCTTGTGCTCGGCCTCCGACATATCCATTTGTTGTAATCGCTTTTATTTCACTTATTTTTCACTTGGATTAACTGCTGTTTTACTGCTACTGCTACTGCTACTGCGACTGCGGACTGCACTTTATGGCCAGAACATGGTCGCGCGCCACGCCACGCACACGCACACGCACTCGCGCACAAGAAGCTGCGGGGGGGAGAGCGGCAGCGGAGTGCCAGCCACTTGAAAACCGAAATGCGCACCGAGAGCACAAGAACACAAAGGCGACGACGCACAGGGGGGCCCCTCTGACTTTTGTTTCACTCAATTGTGGGTGGTGGTGGTGGTGTTGGGGGCGCTGGGTAAATGCACTAAACACTTGCAGCAATCAAATTCGTTTCGCGAGCAACAAATGGCTTTTATTCACGCGCGACTACGCTGAACGTACATGTCCGTTCAAATTTAAAAAAGTTTGTTTACTGTGGCTTGCACAGTGTGACCGCGGATTTATCTAGAAAATAGACCGCCCTGACCTTCAGGAATATACCGAAATATACCTTACCGATGCCTAGGGATGGTTGAAATATATCGATATCTGCAAAATATCAATACTTTTGTGCGATGAGCTGAACTAACAAAATTAGATCAGATATGGGACTCAAGTATGAGCAAGATTGAAATTATTATTAAAAAAAATAACGGAAAAACGTCGGTGTCGCAACTTTGGAATGGAAAATCTAAGCAATCCGTAGGGTTACTTCTACCTTTACGACGCCTTCCCCTCTACAGTCGAACTCCAAGCGTCAGAGAAAATAAAACTCGAAAAAAAATGACGCCCTTTAAATCGCATTTGATATTGTTCACGATCACCATCACGATTGTACTGGTATGCATTGGCTCGATCTTCATTCGGTTCGGTTTCCACCAGGAACTGGTGCGGGACAAGACGAACGGCGTACGGATTGTTATGGTGCTGATGTTCCAGTTCCTTGTGGGAGATCCCATCAAGTTTTTGATCGTGGCATTGGAACGGACGATTTGGCCGCGCGAACATTTCGTGCCGCCGATGGACAAGAGGAGGACCGAGTACGATATGGAGGATTTTCTGGTGCAGAAATTGGAGAGGCAGCGCCGCAACCTGATGATCACCTCGCACTATCGTCACGAGAAACTGAACGAGATGTACAAGGAGATCAGCAGGGATCTGTGGATGTTTGGGCGCTACTACATCTGGCTGATGCTGGCCATGCTGGCCACATGGGAGCCGCGCGTCTACCGCAGCTCGGAGATGATCAAGAAGCTGCTGCTGTACAATCACACGGACTACTATGGCCTGCACGAGGTGGTGCATATCAATCAGCTGTTCGACTACATCGAGATCAATCTGATCAACACCTTCGAAACGAACTCCACGCCGGGCACAACCTTCACCAGCCCCCCCTGGGTGCATGCCGAGCAATGGGTGATGCTGGGCGTTATACGCGTGAGGCAGCTGCGTCGGACTGAGCGCAAGATTGGCTGGAGGTCGCCGGAGTACACCGACATGTCGTACCTGCCCGGCTGGCAAACACCCTACAGAGTGGTGCCGTATGAGGATCTGCACTGGCGCGTCACGAGGCCCTGGGTGCCCATGGAATGGCATGCGACTGACAGCGTCCTGGTGAACTTCTATCACATTGGCGCCTTCGACTTCTATCCGGAGCTGAAAGGCTACTCTACGCTGTTGTCACGCAGCAGAACGAGCACCAAAATGGTCCTCGATTTCCTCACCGAACAGAACTGGCTGACGGGTAACACATCGGCGATCTTTATTGACTTTACCATGTACAATGTGGACATGAATATGTTCAGCGTGATTACGCTGCGACTGGAGCAGCTGCCCTTTGGCAGTGTCGTTCCGCACGTGGATGTGGAGGGCTGTGTGCTGCTGCGGGACTTCGATCATCTGAAATGGTACGATCTGATTGTGTATATGATCTACATACTGGTGCTGCTGCAGTTCGGCAAGGCGACGGTCAACAAGGTGTGGTACGATTCGCGCACCCTCAAGAACGTGTGGAACATAATGGACCTGCTCATATTCGGACTGAATGCCCTGGTCCTCTGGCTAATGTTCTTTCGCGCCTCGATGGTCCGATCGATGCTCAAGAATGTCAGCGTCTTTGGCAACATGGACTTTGTGGACTTTCGGCGTGGATCGCGCCTCCAAGGGCTCATACATATCGTAATTGGAATACTCATCTGCCTGACCACGCTGCGACTGTGGCGGATACTGCAGTTTGCGAATGTCTTTCATTTGTTCAATCAAACGCTGCGCATGGCCTGGCAGCCGGTTGCCAGCATGGCCATGATGATACTCATCTTTCTGTTCGGCTTCTGCATGATGATGGTCATCATTAATGGCAACAATAGCGTGTACTTTAATTACTTCTTTCAGAGCGTCATTACGTGCATGTGCTTCTCGTTCGGTTTCAGCTCCCACATCCATCCCACCGAACTGTTTCACGGCGGCAAGGCCATCGGATTGATACTGTACGCCATACTGGGCTTCTTCATTTGCACCGTCCTCATCAATGTGTTTGTGGCGATGATCAATAACTACTTTGCCGCTGCCAAGGCGAGACGCGACTCGGAGGAGGTCAATCAACTCGACTTCTTTCAGTTCCTGCGCGTCGAGTTTCCAGGCCTCTTTGATTTCTACTGGCACCTGCCCTGCTTTCGGCGGGGATACAAGCGTAAGGACCGCACCGTCAGCCAGAATATTCGCATCGAGATGGAGTACATTGAGCGCAAGAATAAATTTCTGCTTCGCCGCAAAAAAATCAAAATTGTGGACGAGTCAAAGGCGGAAACCAATCACCAGATGCGTGGCGAGCAGCTGCTTCTCGTCGCCGAGCACATGGAGACCCAAATGGAGCTGCTCAGTATGCGGCTATTCGGCGATGCACCACAAGTTCGTCAACCAAAAGGGATATGGGGTTTATTTAGTCGTGTATAAAAAATATTAGTTAAATAAACTTGCCTGCTATCTGTATGTTTCCGATACTTGAATTGTATCACGATCATAGTCTGTGCTCCATTTTCCTTGCTTCATGTCCTTGCTGATCCTTAAATTGGAAAAAAGTGCAGCTAGCGCATGAAGCACATCAAATAAGTTACATCTAGCGCCAGCTGGTGCTTGTTCTCGGAAGCATCTCCGATAACATGCTATCGATATTGCTGCTGATGTTTTCCAGCACTGGCCTACAGAACAATAATAAAAATGGAAAAAAGTAATATTTTAACGGCTATTTTGATCACAGGGCCACCAGGTAACGTTCTCACAATGCACACAGCAATCTCCCCTCAGCCTCAAGTATCCCTCCAGGTGTTGGCAAGACCACGTTGGTGCGTAAGATCTGCTCAAAGTTAGGGGAGCAGAGCAAACTTCAGGGATTCTACACGGAAGAGGTGCGTGCCGATGGAAAAGGACAGCGCATTGGCTTTGATGTGGTCACCCTGACCGGCAAGCGAGGAATACTGGCACGGGAGAGGCCGCTGGACAACCTGCGACGCCCCAAAGTGGGCAAGTACTCGGTCTATGTGCAGGACTTTGAGAATCTAACGCTGCCACTGCTCGATGGCAGTCATTCCGGCTTCGGGCTCTTGGTCATCGATGAAGTGGGCAAAATGGAGCTGCTGAGCAAACGCTTTGAAGCTGCCATCGCCAACGTGTTCGAGCAACAGCGCCGCCCCATTCTGGCCACCATTCCACAAGCGACTCGCCAGTCCATGCCGCTGGTGGAGAAATTGAAGAACGCTCCTGGCGCCTATATCTACGAGGTGACCAAGGTCAACCGGGATGCGCTGGTCAATCAAATTACGGAGCTCATTACACAGTCGAAATTTTTAACATAATAATCTGATTGGTCTGTTTATTAGCGCCCAAGTAGCTTCATCTTCATCATCCATGTCTCAGCCTCTGGTGGTGCTACGCTTCCGCTGATGTTGTTGTGGCAGGCGGTGGCATGGCAGTTGAGGACTGGGACTCGCTTTTGCGAGTGGAGCGCTTTCGCACCCGCTTCGTCTCCTTGGCCCAGTCCATTTCGTTGTAGTATTGCTCCGAGGCGCGCCAGTGTAGCTCCTGGCGCTGCACCAGTTCCGGATGCTTTTGCTCGAACTCCTTGTCCGGTGGCAGCAGCAGCTCCCAGCGTTTCGTGGTATTCACTTTGCCCACGGTACGCAGCACATCGAAGGTTTCCGCGGGCGGCAGCTGGGTGGCGGACATCACCTGGGTGCGGTACAGGCACGCTGTACGCGAGAATCTATAGAGCTGCAGAGGGGATATCGGGATTACAGACAAGTAAAGGATTTATAGGCAAGTGCTGGGCTCACTATATAGTCCCGGGCGCGTATCATCTGCTCCGCACTGACACCGTTGGCGTGGGAAAGCATCTTTTCGGGAAAGACCACCTCCGATTTGGGCACCCAATTGCCGTTCAGCAGAATGCCAACCTGTGGAAGCAGGGCCAGCACCTTTTCGGGCGTCACATGGGGATCCGCCTGCTCCATGAGTATCTCGAGAACGTCCCCGAATGACAGCATCCTGGCATCCTTGAGCAGGACGCGCAGCTGGTCCAGCAGCGGCATTGTCTTCAGCATGGCCTTGTTGTAAACGGGCAGCAGCTCACTCGACTCGTCCACCTTCTGCACGTTCTCGTCGTAGGGCAGCAGCTTCTGCAGGTAATCGCCGGGATTGAGGGTCAGCGACAGGTTGGACTGGTGGTTCGTGGCATACAGCTTCTGGCGCTCCAGCTCCGCTGTGGGTGTGGCACGGGCATGCCAATATGTCTCGCACCACGGCTCGTCCACAATGCGCTGCACAAAGCTGTCGTAGGTGCCGCGCTCCTCCTTTGTCTTCTTGGAGGCGGCGCCCTTGTCGCGAGCGAACTTCACTGTGACCTGCTGCAGCACCTCATCATCGTCCACGTCGTCGTTTTGGGCCTTTTGCTCGGCCTTCTTGCGCTTGTCCTCCTTGTCAAAGTGGCTGAGGGCGGGCCGCAGCTGAACAATGCTCGTCAGCGGCGATAGGTGCACCTCCTTGTCCGTGTAGATGCCCACAATGTACTTGGAGATGTCTGTCAGCGAGCGGGTGCTGGTGAAGGCCTGCTTGTCCATAATGCCACGCTTGTAGGTGGGACGCTCGCCGCCCTTCGTGGGCGCAGCACCGAATGTGTTTTTTCCGTCGGCGGCCACCGCAAACTGCTCGCCCTTGAAGCGGTCATAGTGTTTCGAGTCAATGTTCAGCGCGAAGTCAACCTTTACCTCCTGGGTGAACGGCTTCACGCAGCAGTTGATGATCACTGATTCGTCGTGGTTTGGTAGTTCCGTTTTTGTGGGGTATTGGAAGAGGTACAAGCTGTCCTGCAGGTTTTTTGACAGAAACACGGGTATCTGCGGGGATTCGCAATTCATTTATGCCTCCCCTCGTTGGTACTTCACTCGAACTCACCTCTTCCACAATCGGATCCTCTTCATCGTCCATGTTTCGTTAACAATGAATTATTAAATGATTTGATTTGATGTGCTCTGCACGCCTAAATACCGACAAGAGGAAAATACTAAAAACAATAAAAATACTGGAACAAGTGGTGGTTTAAGTGGTTTTCCAACACTTGATGAGTGTGAACACAGTGGTCGAAGAACATAAACTCGGCAACAAAAAGTGTTATGGGAAAACGTAAGCGAATGAAACCCAAAAGAAATATTATTAGTGTCTAATTTGAGTGCACAATGTGTACTTGATGATTAATCATGTAACTAAACAATTTTATAATTACAAATGTATCACCTGATGAAACAACAAGTGTTAGCAAACAGTTTGCGCCTCCGTTTGTCCCACTGTAACCATATGCTGGTATATTTCAACCATTTTGTGGCATTGGTCACACTGCATGCAAACGTCCCAGGCCTTGGAGACAAATTTTTTTTGGCCCTAAAATTCTAGATATAATATATAAAAATAATGTATATGTACGGGGCGCACATAACACGCGATCATGTTCACGGTCACATCGGAAATCTACAGTGAGACCAACTACCAGCCGACAAAGACGGAGGATGGCCACAAAGTGGTCTCCAAGTTCCGTTTCCGGTATCCCGACGAGACGCTGGACAGGATTGGGCCGACCAGCGTCGATAAAGATGGCGAACTGGACGTGCCAAGGCCTCGTCGGGGCGTCATAGAACTGGAACATTCCGTGGCCACGGAGCTGAAGCTGGTGGGGCTGCAGGTGTGGCGTGGCGCCCTGCTTTTGGCTGACTACTTGTTCTCGCAGCGGGAGCAGCTGGCCAACCAGACCATAATGGAGCTGGGCGCCGGCGTGGGATTGACCAGCATAGCAGCCGCGATCCACAACGCTGGACAGGTCTACTGCACGGACGTGGATCTGGGCTGCATCCTGAAGCTAATCCGTGGAAATGTGCAGCGAAATGCGAGTCTGCTGAGTGGCCAGGTGTCGGTGCTGGAGTTCAATTTTCTGATCCCACGAGCGGAGCAGGCGCCTGAGCTCCTGTCCGCCATCGATGCCAGCGACGTGATTTTGGCTGCGGATGTCATCTACGATGACACCCTCACCGACGCCCTCGTGGCCGTTGTAGATCAGATCCTGGCCAGAGGCCGACCAACTGGCAGGCCCAAGACCATTTACATGGCCCTCGAGAAGCGCGTGGTGTTCACCTTCGAGGACTGCGACTCCGTGGCGCCCATGTACGAATATTTCCTCAAGCAAACGGTCCACAAGCCATGGAAGCTGGAGCACCTGCCCCTGGACTTTCCCCAGTACTTTGACTACGATCGCTGCCGTCAGCTGATTCTGATGAGGATCACCAGTCGCTAGCGAATCCCATTTCAGCTGTTCCATTGGCATTGATGATTAAACGTTTGATGAATCGAATTATGTGAACCGTCCCGCTTTAATGTGGTGACCCAATGTAGAAGTGGCCTTAAGGATGAGGTGATAAATATGACTTAACTAGAACCTGAACCCGTGGAAATTATGGTGCGCCCGCTGCTGGTCAGAGATCCTGCATGGCCAGAATGATGTTCTCCAGCGCCTGTCGCGCGTCTGTGGCCGGAAAATGCTGCAGCACGGCCAGAGCGGCCGCCGTGTGCTTCCGCTGCAGCTCTTTGGTCTTGGCCAGGGCGGGGCCAGCCAGGACGGCCTTGTGGATCTTTTCATAGTCAATGTTGTCCACAGACTGCTTGCCCTGCTCCAGCTGGGCGTACAGGCTGGGATCGTGCTCCAGGTGGAACAGCACCGGGGCACTGACTAGGCTGAAGGTGGCGTCCAGCGGCAGTGTGGGACACTGAAATGGTTCCGCGTCCAGGCAGGCCTGCCAGGCGAGGGCCAGATGCTTGCCAAACCGATACGCATGGCGCTGCAGCTCCTCGCTCTGGCCGGCCAGCTTCAGCGATGCCTGGCAGGACTTGCCCAGCAGACTGCCCGCATTCAGGATGTTGCGGCACTCCCACTCCTGCTCGGGATTGCCCAGTACCTGGGCAATGGGCATGGGCGTCATCACGTCGTGCTCGTTAAAGTCCACGGCCACGCTCAGCGAGGGTCGCTGGAAGGTGCCGGGCTTGTAGGGCAGCGGATTGTTCTGCTCGTCCCGCTCCCCGATGAACTCTGATTCGGAGAAGTCACGCACGGCCGAGGAGATGAGCTCCACCACCTCCTGGTTGCGCAAATTGGCCAGCTCCGCGCTCGAGTGTCCCAGCAGATAGTCGCCGGTGAGCAGGCCGATCTTGTTGCCGAAGGACATGTCGTCGTAGGTAGCCGCATCCTTGCCAGCCTCCGTGCTGGACTGCAGGTTCACCACGCTCTGTTAGGGGAGGAACAGGAGTGGGTTAGAGAATCGTTTCAAGGGAAAGTGGATGAGGTCTGCATACATTGTGCACCAGATGGGAGATGCGTATCATCTCGGTGACCTCGGCCAGGGCGCGCTGAGAGTGCAGGACACCGGCACTCTTGTCCTGCTCCACATCGGGCACACTGGGCGCATGTCCGGCTGCCTTGGACACCAGCAGCACAATCAGTCCCCAGGCCTGCATCGTGTTCTTGCCATTGTAGAGCAGATGTCTACCGACGGAATGTTCGATTAACGATTTAGAAATGAGGATTAGGTGCACTCACTTGGCCGTCTTCATCAGGGGATGGGCACTGCCCACCAGTTTGCGCAGATGCAGCGCCACATTGGCGATCTCATCGCTGAGGAGCCACCGCAGGCTCAGGAACGACGTCGGATAGCCGACAATTCGCTCCGCCTCGCTGACGGCACGATTCCAGTCGTGTCTGGGCGGCGGTGTCGTCACCGTTTGCTGTTTGCTGCTCACCGTTGACGTTGCAGTCCAGCGCACCTGTTCGTGCCTCTGCTGCTGCTGCTGCTGTGGTAGAGTGAAAGTTTTCAGCGCAGGCGCAGCCAGGCAAACAGCCAGACGACCCTCTGGCGCTGGCATCCTGTGGCGCAGCTGTTGCATAATCCGTCCACTGGCGCGGTACATCTCGTTTTCGGGTGGTTTCTGGAGTTTGTCCACTTCGGTTGGTGGGGTCAGGTACAAAGTGCTCCTCTAGGCTAGCTGGCTTTCAGTCTCAATTAACAGAAATAATCGTTGGCTGCGCACCGTTGAACCGCTCGCTCGCTCCGAGCATCGAAAAGTGAAATCTCCGACCGACTCGACGTCTCGACTCTCGTTTTGGTTGCGTCGCAGCGCTGCCGCAGGTGTTGTGTTGTTGTTGCTGCTTCTTCGCTGGCGGCCCACTTTTACAGTTGTTCAAGTGGCCGCCAAGAAATCTGTTTGTTTTTATTGCCCCACGCTTTGTCATGGAATTTCGGTTGAAGCTTGTGGATTGCGGCGGTGGTGGGGTTTGACGACGGTATTTAGCGGGAACAGGTTTTTGCACGGCCATGATTTAGAGATGTCAAACGGTCGATAGCTATGGATTTTATCCTATAACGATAACGGTAACGATAGTTTGCCGTAAAATACGAAAGTTTTGTCATTTTTTCTTTTTTCTCTCACGGTCATACCGATCGCGTGAAAATTACAAAAACTTGTCAAAATTAAACAGTTTCGGGATTGATTAGAGCCCGAGAAATTTAAACATTTCCTCAATTCTATAAGGTTGATTTCTCCAAAGGTAGGAGAATGTTGCTCATTCCTATCGGTATAGGTTGTTGCCGACGGTAAAATACATAAGTTGGAATGGAATGTCCTTACATTGCTGCGATGAAAATCCCGATGTTCCGTATGGAAATTGGGATTTAATAAATTAATTATAAATTTAATTATATACCGATGTACCGTAAATATAACTTGAACTCAATTTCGACGTCAAAATATCCAGAAAAGTATAGTATATAATATATCCTAATCGGTCAACCTTATATGTTTTTCTACTACACTGTTCGGTTTTTAAATTATAATTTCTATTATATTATATATATTATTACATTTATTATATTAAAGATCTCGGTGGTCATTTTCGTTTTGTAAGTAGAGAGGAGGATGGAGCTACAAGGAGGCGCGGTTTAACAAAGGGTGCTCAACTTTTTAAATAGAGAGGTGTCATGTGGGTTAAGTTCAAAATTACCGCCAAACTCCATTTAGCGCACAAAAAATACTGACATTTTTCGCTCGCAATTCGTGGTCGTTTTTCAAAATTTGCTCTCTTTCAGCAACATGACAATGTTGCACAGCACTGTTGTGCAACTTTGGTTGTTTTTGATCTTCTTCCTGTTTGACGAGTTTTTTTCTTCTTCTTCCTGTTTGACGATTTTTTTTTTTATTTCGCGTTTCAACTTCGAATTGTTATTTTATGGTTATATTATGGTTATGTTATGTTATTTTATAGATTATAGAATAGAGGTAATGTTTGTAATTTCAGGCTCCAATTAATGCAGAAACTACTCAGTCTTTGTTTTAAAGATATTAACAAAATTTTACATCCCACGGCTACCGATAACAGGTATCAGAACCGGGATAAATGTATATATGAAACGAAACACAAAACATTTGCATTAATAGATAGAAAAGAATCTAAAATCATTATTAATGTTTCAATGGAGCTTGGAACAACAAATTTAACATCAATTAAAGGAAATATGGTATAAAACAGTCCATTTAGTCAACATTTACGTTTTATGCTTTGGCCGTGTTTCTTTGAAAATTTTTATTTAAGCAATGCAATGAAAAGGACTTCTGAAAACTAGCCAATCTTGTAGAAAATTGATTCATCTGTCGAATAAAATTATGCGTTCAGTGTTGAGATAGTTATATCAAAATCGAGAAATATGATTTCCGATCATAAACAGAAAACGTTTAGCCTATTGTCGCCCACTGGGTATTTCAATTGACGCACGAATATTATGAAACTTAACACATTTATTACGCATTTCAGGTAAAAGCTATCGTAGTAAGATTTGTTTGTGAGTAAAGAGGCAAGAGAGGTAAGAAGAAAAACGTACAAACAGTTTTATTTTTCGCGGCTTAACAAAGGGTGCTCAACTTTTTAAATAGAGGGGCGTTAAGTGGGTTAAGTCTCGTTTGATCGCCGGATTGTCCTGGTTTTTTTATGGTATGGTATTTAAATGGTATTTCTCGAAACTGAAATGGTACTTAATGGTATTTATTTTTTTGCCGTATTTTTATCGTTATCGCTATCGGTCACGCTGGTGAGAAAGTGGAACAAAATAATATAATACGGAATCGGAAAAACCCAGAATAAAGCCAGAAGAAAATGTCCCCAAAAATGTACCACGAAAAAACAAAAAAAACCCGTTCGAATGCCCGTGTGTAATGGAGAGAGACTGCGTGTGGTGTGTGTGCGTGTGTGAACGGTAGAGGGGAAACGAGCTGCACTGCAACAAATTGATATAAATAATAGTGCCCCAAGTGCCGTTGCGTTCCACGGGGATTGTGAATGTATTTCGCGCAAATTGTTGCTGCACTTAAATGTTTCCTGCTGCCTCGGCGGCTAATAGTTTAATTGCTTAAGCGGTCGATTTGCCGCTGCAGAGGAAGGGAGATAGCGGCTATTGTCTGCTTGTGTGTTCGTGGTGGTGGAGTGGGAGGTGATGTTCAAAGGATCAAAAGGGAATGCCGCCTCCGCAGAGGCGTCTAGGAGAGGAATGCAACAACTGTAACATTTTTTGGCCCCAAAGTAAAAAATCCGATGTATACACACAGATTACTGTGAAGAAACAAGAGAAAACGGGGCGAAAAGAAAACTACGAAAGTGGTTGCTACTGCTGCTGCTCTGGCTCTATGGATGTGTTGTGTGTGTGTGTGTGTGTGATGCGAGAGGAATGCTGTCTATGTATCACGTTTCGCACTGCGTATGTGTGTGCAGTGTTGTATAGTGCATAAATTATGGAATCTGTCTTGAATCTTTGCTAAAATCTTTAAACAAAACGAAAACAGACAGTTTGTGATTTATATATAGGGTACCAATCGATCTGGTTGCATCCCCAACCAGCACCAGCATTCGATAGTGTCGCCTGAGAGAGGCGATGCGATGCAAGATAGAGAGAGCCGCGCATTTAATAAACAGACGCCGCCATGCAAATCACACACACTAGTGTGATAAAACTTGTTTGGACGCTCTCTCTCTCTCTCTCCGTCTCTGGCCTTTGCAAAAAGAGCAAAAGCCGCTATTCTCTGTTGCTCTGTGTGTGTGTGTGCGAGAGTGTTTGACAAATCTTCTTTAGCTGCTGCTGCTTCTCGCTACTCGCTGCTCACACAACTACTTCGAAGCAGTGGCAGCAGCAGGCAACGGAGGCAAAGCTAGGCGAGCAAAATTTCCATTGTGTGTGGCAGAGCAGAAGCAGCAGCTCCGCGCAGCCATCAACGGAACACGGTTGGTCTCGGGTCGGACCGCAGTCGGTCTAAAATTTTCTGACTCGTCATTTGTGTTGTGTGTTGTGCGAAACGCCAGCAAAAGGCGATTGCAAAGAGAGCGATGTGTGGTGCACATATACGTTAAACGTTGAGTAATAATATTATAAATAATGTGTATTTAAAAATCGCAATCGCACTGCTGTTTTTTTTTGTCGGTATTTAGTGCAAAAAAGTGCCAAGCAGTCCTGTCTTTGCTGCTGTTTCTCTGTAGGAGTGTGTGTGTGTATTACTCATCTGCCTGCTGCTGCTGCTCACCCTCTCGCTCGCCCCCTACTCATCAAGCGGCCACAAATATTTACCGTATTCGAGAAATGCAGAGCGGCGATCGAAAAATCGAAATACCGAAAAAGTGTATACACAAAGTGCAGTGGAGGGAAGAGCAGAGCAGAGCAGACAAATGGCGACGCATTTAAAGAGTTATGGATGGATGGCTGGGTGGGTTAACAGGGTGGGGGTGGGTGGTGCAGGCAGCCAGAAGCCATGCATATGAGAAATTTTGAAAAAAAAAACTTGCCAGTTTTTTTTTGTAGGTTTTTGTCTACATCAACGATTAACGAAAAACCCAACGACTTTCATCGTCGCGAGTCGTGCGTCGGTGTAAGCGAGTGTGCGAGTGTGTGTGACTGACTGTGTTTCTAGAAATATATATGTATAAAACTCGCTCTTTTAGTCGTCACGTCGCCGCTGCCTTGAAAAAAGTCACGCAGCAGCAGAGGAATGAATGGACAGACTAGCGAGAGAACGAATGTTGCCGTCCACCCTTGTAATTGCCGTGTATCTGTATCTGTGTGGTGGTGCGGCTCTCCCGGCGAGTGCATGTGTGAGTGAGAACGAACCGCAGTAGCAGCAGCAGCCACAGTAGCAACAAAATAAGCAGCAGCCAAAAGCCAAAATCAAAAACAATAAGAAATGAAAAGGCACAAATTATTGTTCATTATTGTAGGGGGAGGGTGTGTGTGTGTGTGTGCGAGTGTTTGGATGCAGTGTAGAGTGGAATAAAACGGTAGATATGGGTGCGTGGAAATCTAATAAACTGTTTTTATCTTCCAGAAATGTGCTGCAGTGTGTGTGTGTCATTGCCAAAGCAACAACGTTAACGTTTACGTTTAAATAAATAAATTGTGAAAGAAAAGCAGAGAACGAGAGGAAAATATAATTAAATATTTAACCGAAAGAGCAACAAATACAAAATAAAAGCGAATCAACAGCAATAACAACAACATCAAAGAGGAGGAGGAGAAGGAGTAAAGAAGAAGCAGTAAACCGTTCACTTTGTGTATCTCTGCGTCCCTGTCTCTCTTACAGTTTGTGTGTGTTCGTCTCTGCGTTCGCGTTCGTGTTCGTATCTGTGTGTTCGTCCGCCAGTGCCTCTATGTGTAGTTGTGTATGTGTGCATATTCTGTCGGAGCAGAATCAATAAAAAAGTATAAAGTATAAAAATTCAAACCGCAAATGTGCAAAATACCAGAGAGACAGTAGTAGTTATCCATTACAAAATAAAACACACACATTTGAGAAAATGAGGTGCTGCTGCCGTGGAAACAAGAAAAGCCAAGAACTATGACGCATCAAAACCATCAGACGAATGGCGCTAGTTTGGAGGATTGCCATACAAACTTTTATGCCCTGGTAAGTACTCATTTGTCCCACTGTGAGTGAAAGATCTAGGTCAGTGCGAATTGTAGGGCCTTAGAAGCAGCGGGGAGGGAACCACCCACACGGCGAGTGTTACGATCGTTTGACAACACTGCTGTCACTGCAGGAGGAGTGTGGTGTGTGTGCGTGCGTGTTTGTGTGAAGGGAATTAGCTGGAAGAGGAGCGTGGGAGAATGAAGTAGATGCTTCTGGAGAGTGTGTCGTAGCGTGTGTAAAAGGAAGTGTTGCTTGGTGGCTGCTTCTGCGAAGGAATAGACACAAGAGAGACAACTGCCGCCTCTGCCCATAACAGGTTCTCCAAGCAACAGAGACAGCGACTGCGACTGGTTTGTTGGCCCCGAGATTGCTGTTGCCGCTTTTCTCTTTTGTTTCTTTAATGAATATCTATGTATCCCCCCCTCCCCCGAAAAACGGAAAGAGAAGCGGAACGGAACGGACAACAAACGGTGACGACGTCGACGACAGTGCGTACAAGTCAACGTGCTCCACTCGCCGTTGCTATCTCTCCCCCGCCGCCGCTGCCCGAAAGAGACTCGACGCCAACGAAATAACGAAACAATAACAAACGCGCCAAACTTTCTCTGAGAGAGATAGAGAGCAACGAGCAGAAATCAGTTTGAACTTGAGAGGCACGCGCGCGTGAACAAACACAAGCAAACAAATGTGTCGTGATAACAGCAGGAGAGCAGCATGTTCGCTCTCACTTATACACTTATATTGAAAGAGAGGGAGGCCAAGACTGAAAGAGCGCGCATGAATATTGCAAATAGGTATGAAGCGACAGAGACGCTGACGTAGACAGCAGGCAGAAACCTACATACAACTGTTGTTTTGGGGGGCCTCTGCCCAGATACAATGTTCGGTGGGGGGAATGGGATTCACCAAAGAATCGCCGCGTACAAGTGCTGGTCAAAATGCGATAGCGCTCGGCCCAAAAATAAAAGCCAATAAATAAAAGAACAAAACGAAGACGAAGCAAGAAAGCAGCGAGTGGTGCTTGTAGCAGCACCAGCAGACGAAATGAGAGCGAAAATGAAAACACAGAAATGCAAAAAGAAACAAGCAGTAAAAAAACGGAAGAATGTGGAACATTTTTCGGTGGGCCGACGAGAGAGCCACGATGGGCGAGCAGTGTATAGCCCAAGCAGAAGGTGCGGTGGGGAGGATGGGGGCCGGTTCGTTCCGTTTCATTCGTGGTTTGGGGGAATACCTTTCGGTTGCTACTGTCTGTCTGTGTGTTTGTGAATGTGTTTGTTTATGTCCGTCCACTTGTCTGTGTCTGTGCGGTGCAGTTATTTATTTTGGCTCTATCTCGCTTGTGCACCCACTGCCTGTCCGTCCATTGATTTGTATACTGCTTGTAGCAGCACCGCCGCCGCGGACAAGCAGAGGAATCTGAATTCAAGCAGACAGCAACTTGTTTCCAGCCAAAGACCCAACTGAAAAAAAAACTCTCAGCGGAAGCCGCCAATGACGACCCCAAGCCGAGACTTGGCCAGGCCCAAGCCACTAGCTTCCCATCCCCATCCCCGTCTCTGTCCTTCTTCTTCTCGTTGCTCAAGTTTTTCTTGTCTTGCCTCTGACTCTGCCTCTACTGTGGCTCTCTGCGTTTTTTCGTGCTTTTGTTTTGAGTTTCGAGCAGATTCGAGCTTCGCTTTGGTCGTTTTCTTCTTTTGTTGCCGTTGGGGCCGCCGCCGCCGCCAAGTGCAGCGCCGTGGAATTTTTTGTGTATGTGTAATCTGCGCCGCTGTGCAACACTGGTGAAGCGAGCAATGGGGCAGACCTGAGACTATGGGATGAGCATTTAAGTTTTCATGCCCAGAACGATGTATCTTCCTTCCAAACAGGAAAGAATGCCCTTAGGGAAACCATACTTTCAAACGCCATAAACCCACAAGTAAAAATACTATAAAGTTCACTAGGCATTGAATTCTAAGAGCGATGCCCAAGAGAATTAATATGAGAGAATCAGCTCTACATTTGGTAAAAGTATCAGAGCTTGCAGGGGAATCTACCATCTTTTAGTTATGTTAATATTTACGTTTGTAAAGAGTACTTACACAGAAAAAAGGCCAAATGTGTGAGATTGTCATTAAAATCTGAAATTGTAAAAGATATTTTTAATTTAGTTAGAGTTTGAGGGAAAATTATTAATTTAAAATTGTAAAAGTTTGATTACGAAAAGCTCGATGGTATTTCACATTATTGTGAAATTCCAATATATTATAAAGGGATGAGAATATTTACACAATTAGTTAAAGATACTTTAAAAGCTGTTCTATACAAAGAAGTCACCCCAAATAAGATTTCGATTCCATTTAATGATATTTTTTACACGAGTTTTCTGTGATTGAAATTTGTTTGCTACGATGTCGCACGTCTGTTTATATTGCCTCTACAGTTGTGAAAGTTGTGTTGCAGCTGCAATAATAAAGCTAAAGCGTGGATTTATAACAGATACGGTGGGAAAATAATAGGGTAGGGAGGGAAGACCAGACCTCTATAGATAATGACAGATAATGATAATGGCGCAGACACGTTCCATTCCTGGGTTGATATTCGTATCGATTGGCAATATTACACAATTAATTTTCTTTCGATTGGGCTTATCAATAGCAGCAATAGCAACTGACCCACCTTCTGAAGCAATAATTTAGGAAGCTTGACAATCAATAATGCGACGATAATTAATTAAAACATTTACTCTTCCTTCCAGACTGATTTATGTGGAATAAAATGGCGGAAGTTCGTCAATGGGGAACGGCCGAATGCGTCGAGCGATCCGTTGGCCGATCCCATACTACGCTCCTACTCGCGGTGCATCCAGGCGGACATGCTATGTGTGTGGCGCCGGGTGCAGTCCCACAAGCCGGACAACACCGATCCGAATGCCTTAACCTTTGAGATTACCACATCGACCAAGGTCCACCCGCCCCTATCGCTGGCCGCCGCCAAGGAGCTGTGGATATTCTGGTACGGAGAGGAGCCCGATCTCAGTGACCTGGTCGACCCCGAATTGCTGAGAGTAGCTGGTACGTTAATAAAATGATCTAAACGCTATAAATGTTCAAAATTTCTGTTTTTATGGAGGTTTTCCCAAATGCGTATCATCATCATTGGGATCCCTTTTTTGTATGCATTATTTTTGCTTCCCTTCTCGCTCTCACACACACACACACACACGTGCATGCGATGATGAATTGAATAAAAAGCTTCAAGGCCGCATCGCATGCATCGCGGCAGCAGCACATGCAATGCATTGGTGTGTGTGTGTGTATCTGTGACTCGGAATGAGAAAACTCAAAACATTCAAAACACACACAAATACATAAACAAACACACGCGAGATATTTTCGATTGCTGCAGATGATTATTGTTCTCCTTTCGACGTCACTCACATGGTGGCGAGTTTGGCGTTGCCGTTGGCGTCGACGTCAGCGTCAGAGTCTGTCAGCAATAGCAACAAACGTCAATCGTAGGCGGTCGTCCCTCTTACACCCACTTACCCACTCACTCCCCCTTACAAACAAGACAAAGACGAGTGAAACGTCACCTGTCACTTGCAGTGTTTTTGCGGTGCTCTCTCGCTCTCTATCTTTTGCCAACTCTCTCCCTTGTCCACTCTTACGCTCTCTGGCGTAACTATGCAAAACGGCTCTCACTGGCTCTAGCTCTCTCTTCTCTACATGTGGGCGGACTGGGAGGGTTTTGGTTCTGTGCACACGAACATCATGGCTGGCCTTCGGGGAGTGCGCGCGGCCATCATTCGGCACCATTCTTATCAGCTATTGCGTGTGGCTACTATTTATTCAATATTTTCGCTATTGCCACCATTATCTCTGACCACAAAAACTATGGTGGAACTCGGAATTGGGTTTTGTTTTCTGTGTGTCCGTCCATTTGTCCGGCGCTGGGGCTGTGGGACTATGGCAAATTCCATTACCAGATACCCATACCCTACCCCCAGAACGTTACGCCGTAATCTGTGTACATTGTCCGACTACGTCATTCTGCCGTGTCTCATTTACGTTTACCGTTAACCTGGCTTTCTGGCTGCGACGGCGGCGTCGTCTGCGTTCTGCCCTGGCCTCTGTCCGCTGCCTTGAGTTGAATGCACGCGACGTCGCTGCTCTGCCTGTCCCGTCTCTCGCTGATGAAATTATTGGCGCAGCCTTTGTTTTTTGTGCTTTTGTCATTGTCGCCTGCTTCTCGTAATGACAAGGACATTGACTAATTGCATTGACATGACTTTGTCTCGCTCCTGCTGTTCCCGTTCACCCCTTGAGTTTGCTTGCTTGTGTGTTTGTGCACACGGGAGTGTGAGCGAAATTTAATTTTCTTTTTATAGCCTTTTACTTTGCGGCCGCCACCGGACTGCCATAAACAACAAAACGGGCCGTAACACGCATGAAAACGGTCTCTCTGCTGTGTTTGTGTGTGTGTGTGTGTGAGAGAGTTCGTATTGTGTGCGTGTGAATGAAATTGTGACAGAAAAAGCGTGAGAGGGAGATGAGAGCAAGCGTCCCAACGCTGTTACTGTTGCTGTGGGTAGTAAGTAGCGCGGCTTTCAAGCTACATAGGTGAAAATGGCAACGCCGCAAATCTCAGCGCACCCAGGCACAGTGGGATTCAAATGTGAAAGAAAGAAATAGTTTTACATGTTAGGAAAACGCATTTACTGTACTCTAATACTAGTTCAACCGGTATCCACTGTACAAAACCTCCATTCATGGGAAATCAAAGCATTCTTTAACGCAGTGCCTTGGCCACATTCCCAGCCAATCATTCCACTGTGTGCGTTGCAGGGCTTTGCTTTTTATAGGTCTCTTCTGTCTTTGGGCTGCTGCTCGCAAAGCCGACGACGTCATTAGAGTATAGTAGACGTAGACACGCCTACGCATCTCCGTGGCAGAGGCTGCCTACAATCTCAATATGCCTCGGACTCCCTCGCCACCTCCCCCACCATCATTACTTGTTGTCATTGCATTTGTTGTTGTTGCATTCCTCATGGCATGTTTTTTTTACCTTAAACAGCTGTCACTTGGTTCTGTCTCTCATTGTGTGTGTGTGTGCTCCACAATTGGAGCCAATAATTACGCGCCTCTGTCTCTCTCTCTCATTCTCTCTGTCTTTGACTGTCGCTCTCTTGAGAGCTTAAACTGGTTTGGAAGCAAGCTTTAATTACACTGCGCTTTCTTGTTGTTGCAAAGTTTTGCATTCGTGTGGAGGTTCTTCTACCTGCTTTTTGTGTATTTGATTGTGTCTTTGTTTTTGCCTTTTCGCATACTAAACAATTTTCATAATGCGCGCGCGGTTCTCGCAGCGGTAGCGGCAGATTATTGACCTTGATTTCAACATTTGTTGCTGCACGCAAATGCCTGTCAGTCCCGTCCCCCCGCCCGATCTTTCGCCACACATTTCTCCCGTCAATTAAACATAACGGCTGTTGTGTGACATTTCATCCCACCTGTAATTGAGTGAGAGGATTCGCCAGTGGGGTGGGGGGTTTTGCTAACCTAAAATACCATTATTGTTATGTTGTTTTTTTTTTTTCAAACCACAAACAACAAACAAGACAGCGAGACAGAGAGAGAGCCCAGCTAGCGGCACTTTTGCCACAAACAACATTTCACTCTCCAACCACCAAATGCTTGGTAGCAGATACATTTGCTCTCTCTCTCTCTCTCTTCTTCAAAGACACTCGCTATAGTTTTCACTCTCTTTTCACTCCGACGCTCTCTCTGAGCGAGTCTTTCGACAGCAACATGTGCACAAACCACACGTGCTAAAAAAATACACCCACACACACACGCATACAATGCGAGAGATATATATGTGGAATTTGCATTGCGCCGTTCGGCGTCGGCTCGTCGCTTCGATTCCCGATTCCTGTTACAGCCGAAGATGCGTCGGCTGCAGCAGCTGTGTTTAAGAGGGAGTGAGAGCGGAGGGATGGTATGGTTTGCAGACGAAGCCGGACTTTCCGTTGTGGTCGGCTGGGTGGAGGGAGGGAGCAATAGTGTCTGGGTGGACTTGTTGTTGCGTTTGGCATTTTTTTTGTGTGTGTTTATTTTTTGTTTGTCGTTCCATTTCGTTTAGTTTCGTTTGCTTGTTTGCCGAGACCCGAAGCAGAAGCACAGGCTGAGAGAGGCTGCACTGCTTGCGTGCTGTGCTGCCTACCCTTGTGGGATTTTTGGGCGAGCTTTGAACTTTTGCCGTTTTGGCCGATGGTGTGACCTCACAGCCGAGCCGAGTGCCGGCTTTGGGCGGCTGCTGGCTTGGCTGGTTTGGTTGTGAGCTGAATGGCGGGCGGGCGGAGGGAGGCAACAGGCAAACGGCCAACAGTTACACTTTTTCGCCAGACTCTCTCACGCACACAAGCCCACAAACACTCACACAAACATAATCGTACATTGCCCTCTCGCCTCTGTATGGCTCTGCGTGTGGTGTGTGTGAGCAAAAAACCCTACGCTGATCTCATTGAATGAAGAGTATACCCACTCGCACAAGAAATGTGCACACAAACACGAATACATACCAATGCAAACAAATATTGTAATCCGCAAAAGCAGTGACGCAGGGGCTTGTAAAAGCAGCAACAAAAGCAAAAGCAATAGCTGTAGATGTAGCCACTAGAAGCAAAACGAATATGAAGACGCTACTTTGTAAATCTGCCCAAGTCGGCGCCGCTGCATTTGTGTTTTATTTTCTGTTGCCTCTTACTCGCTGCTCTGCTTTCTACACTCCGTGGTCTGCTCTTCTCACTATTTTTTTTGTCTATGTACTCACTCTCTCTCCCTCTCAATTTTGTTGCGTTTTGTTATTTATAATGTTGTTTACCTTTACGTAATTATCTTTGGGGCAGCAGACGCAAGCAATGCGGTCCTTGTAAGCGCCAGCATAGATGTGTGTGCGTGTGTGTTTGACGTGTTTGACTGTGTGTAGGTGGCTCCTCTCTGCTTCTCTCTTGGCTTGTAGGCATCGTCTTTGAGAGATGCTTGGAATTTTCCAAAAATTTTCGCTCCCTCTCTCTGTTTTTTTGTTCACTGTCGGTGTTTGTGTTGCTCCCCTCCCCTTCTCATGCTTCCAATCTTTTGTTTCGAGTGTTTGCACTTCCGCCTTGGATTCATTTTCAAAGTTTCTGCCCATCCTTCTTTCAGTAATCTTTTTCCAGTGATTTGAACCTACTTGCTGCTTCCCCTTAATTTTCCCTACACTCTTCTTCCTTCTTCTCTGTACTCTAGCTCCCCTCTTCGCACTATTTCTCCGTTTTTACACTCCCTCCTTTTAATTCAAGTGTTTGAGTGTTTTCTCTTGTTCTTCTCACGTTTCTCTGTTACAAATGTTGCATTTACATATTTCACTGTTTCCGCTGCCTCTGCTGCTTCTTCTTTCTTATGTATCCAAGTTCCCTCTCTCTTGCTTCCTCTCTCACTCACTCTCTCGTTGTGCCTATTTGTCATTTGCGGCTCGAAAAACAAAAACAATGAAAAACCAAACAATAACAAAAATAAATTGCCTCAAAAGTGTTTTCTGAGGCGTGCGTTGCGTCGTTGACTCTGCTCTACAGAAAGAGAGAGAGACGATAGAGAGAGAGCGAGGGCGAGATTCTATGATTGTTTTGCGTTGCTCACTGTTGTTTTTCTTTGCGAGTTGTTTTTTGGGTACTTTTCCATAAGTTACATTGGAATAAAACCAAGAGAAACATTTCTACATGAGATCTAAACAGTTTTCCGATTCAGGAATGATATCATTGCCGAGCACCTTTCGAGCTGATTTCGTCACTAGCATGGAATGATGGCCTGGCTCCCCTTGCCATTGCTATTACCGTTCCCGTTACCGTTAGCGTTAGCTTTCCCCCATCCACTCAGCATCCACATGGAATCCACTAACTAATTACAACACTGCTCTGCTCTATCTTTCAGCCAATCAAGCGCTTTGGAATGGCACCTGGAAGGGCGCGCTCACGTACGAGTGCCGCTCGCTGCTCTTCAAAGCGCTGCACAATCTGATGGAAAGGTAAGTGGAGATCGGGCGAGAGACAGAGAGAGAGAAATACTAAGAAATATCTAACAATTACTTATTCCTTTACAGATTTGTGCTCACCAAGGACATTGTGCGCTTTGGCAAATGGTTTGTGCAGCCCTGCACGTCGAGCGATCGTCTCTTTGGACGCAGGTGAGTGTCGCTGTGCCACTGGAGTCTTTTGATTCTGGATGCAGGGACATACGATGTGGCAACGCTTGAAACTTTAGCCGTTTCACATTCCCCCCGCATCCTAGAGCAAGGATCTCAGGAACTCTGTGCAGTGGCATCCCAGTCTGTGCCACTGCATCGTTCTTCCTGCTACATTTTGACCACCTGCCTGCCCCTCCTCTGGGATGTCCATGGCTAATGATCTCTCGCTTTGTGTTACAGCTCCCAGCACCTGTCCTTCTCCTTCACGTTCTTCGTGCACGGCGACACGGTGTGCGCCTCCATCGACCTGCGAGAGCACCCCGCCGTACGACCCCTGACCAAGGAGCATCTGGCCGAGGCGGCAGCAGCCTTTACCGCAGCCAGCTCCAGCAGCCAGTCGGGCTCGGGTTCGGGAGCGGGATCCAACTCTGGGGCCGGCCCAGGCCAGAACCAGACACCGGAATCGAATGGAACCAGCGGAACGGAACCAAATGAGGGCACCGAGGCGAAGGCCGTGCCGCCGGCGCATGCGCGCAAGGTGATGCTGGCCCCCTTTGGCATTGCGGCCATCCTCACGGGCAATAGCTACAAGGCCAACGACCCCGTGGCCGAGAAGATCCTGGAGGACTGGGCCTCGTTCTTTCCGCTGTGCAATAAGGACAACACGGACGTGCCGCCCGTCGTGGAGGTGGTGTCGGGTGAGTCTCTGCTGTCCCCCCCCCTCTGCAATTGTCTGGAACTGGAACTCATTCTGCTTTGTACTCCCATCACCATCAGGTGGCCATAAGATGTACCATCCTACGAATTACGTACTAGTCACGGATCTGGACGACATGGAGCACCTGGAATTCGCGGAACTGCAGAGGGCCAGTGCAGGGGTAGCGTCAGGGGCCGAGGCAGCTGTCCTCTCCTCGCTCTCCTGTCCGCCAGCTGCATCTGCAGGTACGCCACCCGGTGCCGCACAGGCCAAGGATGGCGCCGCCTCGCGGAAGTCTGTGCCCCAGGCCGTCAGCGCTTTGGAGCGCCTCTCCTTCCAGCCCTACTACGACCAACGCCCGACTTCGGGCTTCTCCTTCAACACCCACAATACTCATATACCTGCCGCAGCGGCCGTGGAGATGCCGGAGCGTGCGTGGCAGGACTGCGTCATGAATACCCTTCATGTGGACGCGGCGACAGCTGCGGCGGCATCAGGATCTTCAGCGTCTGCGTCTGCATCAGGCGTTCCGGATGAGGATGAGCAGAACAAGCCTCCGGCGGACTCGAAGCAGTTGGTGCAGCAGCAGATCCAGCAGCAACAGCAGCAGCAGCGTCAGAAGCTGTGGAACTTTGTGGATCCCATGCAGAAGGCGCCCTGTATATGCACCAAGTAAGTCGCGATCCACAGAGAGAGCCGCACAGCAAGCAGTTAACCGTTGAAATGATGAATGCAGAGTGGGAGGGGGGAGGTTTCTCTCCTCTTCTATACACCTCGCTCTCTACTACTTTTACTCTTACTCCTATTCCTACTCTATCTCTCTATATATATATATTATACATATATATATCTTTCGTAAGCCCTGATTTAAACGATGCAACGGAGACCCCACCGTTCCGTTCCGTTACGCTCCCGCTTTGATGGCATGCCTTTTTCCCCACCTAGCAAGCAGTGCGATCGCGATAGTTAACTGTTGTTTTTTTTTGTCGATATATATATATTTATTATATATGCATGCGATAGGCGGTAGATCCCCTTCCCCCCTTTTCTTTTGGATTTTTGTTTTTGTTTTTTTTTCTGTTGTATTGTACCTAAATCACACAGCAGACAGCTTTTGGCCACGAACTGGGGGAAGAAAGTTCTCAGTGAAAAAAAGAAAAGAAAACGTGTCTAAAACCTAAAACAAACAACTTTCAGCGCCCAATGCAGCAGCAGCAAGCGTCAGCAGCAGCAGCAGCACCAGCAGCAGCAGCAGCAACAGTCTCTCTCTCAGCAGCCGCTGGGCTCTCCGGCTCTGCGTGCTGCCGTAGGAGCTGTCGGAAGCAGCTCCAAGTCGTCCTTCCAGCATCATTACCAACAGCAGCAACAGCAGCGTCCCGGAACACCAGCCGCGGCAGCAGCAGCAGCCGCTTTGGCAGCAGCAGCAGCAACGCATCATTCCAACAACAACACCACCACAACCTCTTCTTCTTCTGCTTCCACCACCAACACCTTAAACTTGAATTCGAACTCTTCCTCTGCCCCAAGGCGCCACAATGTGCCGTTCCACAAGCGTTTACTCAATACGCTGACGCAGTCGTCGTCGTCGTCCTCGGCAGTCGTCGCCGCCAGGTACAAGGCGGCAACAGACACCAATACACCAAAAGCAAGGTTTGTGTTGTTGCTGTGTGTGTGTGCGAGTGTGTGTGTGTGTGTGGAGAGCCAGTGCTGGCTAGCGTTTTTAGTAACTGCTATAAAGCTTCTCCTCTTCCGTTCTCCTTCTCTAACACACTCTTCTCTCTGTCTTCCATCTGTCTATCTCTCTGTCTCTCTCACACACACAACACGCTCCGCTCTGTTTAACCCTATACTTTTTTATTGTTTTCTTTTTGTTGGTTGGTTCGGTTGCAAGATTTGAGCATTATTTTTCCTTCCACCTTTGCTGCCTCTTTAATTAATTAACAAATCAAAACACACGCACACACACATACACATGACACACATACAACGACACGAATCATTTGCCATTTTGCAATAACAAACTCCTAGCTCTAGTTTTTCACCTTTTCACTTTTTTCGGTTCGGTGAATGGTATTTTGCAACACTAAAAAAAGAACACTGCTTGCCAGTGTAAATAATTTCCAACACTAAAAAGAGGAAACACTGCTTGACAGCACAGTGGGGGTGAATGGTTATTTCGCAACACTCAACAGCCATAATCAACACTGTTTTGACCTCACGAAAGATCTGTCGCTAATGATGTGGATATGATGTGATAGGGTTTTTCAATGCGCTGTAAATGATTATTTTTTAATTTTTCCTTTAGTTTAGGGGGTAGCTACCATCACACGCTGCCACTCCTCCTGCCACTCCTCCTGCATATCTCATTGTTGGAATTTGGTTTTGATTTATTTTTACTGGTTTTGGTTTCTGCATTCTCTGCATGACATTTGAAACTAGACTGCGCATCCCCGCCAGTATCCCCCCATAGATGCATTTTGTTGAATGATTTTATTTTATGGTTTTGCTGTAAATAACATTTTTGCATTGATGCTACTATATTGTGTAATCCTAGAGATTTGGTTATTTAGAGATCCCCTTCCCCCCCAAATCGCCATTGGATGTGGTTTTATTTATTATACTTTTGCTTAACGTTTTTTGGGGGGTTATTCCTGCTGGATTGCCCCCAATAAATACATATGTACTCTTCATTAATCAATACTTACTCCATGGCTACCTTATCCGTAGTTTGAGCATTGTATATAACCCCCACTCCACCCCCTAAAAGCGTCACTAGATATCCCTGCCAATCAAACTCCTACTCTTTTTCTCTCTCGCCAGACACCTGTGCAGCACGCCGCACGGGACACCGCATGGCGGCGCCTCCACGTACTCACGCAACTCCCTTGGCGGCGATTCGTCGTTGCCGGTGGCCTCCGTGGGATCACCCGCCACGCCAGCGCCCTCGCCCCATCCGAATTCGGCGCATTCGCAGCCCACATCCGTGCCGCCCGCAGAGCAAGTGAGTGCAAGTGACGACCCGAAACGCAGCAGCAAACCTCTGCCGCTTGGCTGCCATACTAACCCCCAACCCCCACTCTGCTCTTGTGACAGCTTCTCAACATGAGCCCCCATGCGCCCACGTCCGTTTCGAATCTGCAGCAGCCGCCGACGCCCATCGACCATCTGCTGGACAAGAACACGCCAGCGCCGACGCCCACGGACCAGCACGACAACAAGAGCATCACCGCCTCGCCCTATGTACATCAGACGCCCAGCGTGGAGCCGCCCTCCTACACGGACCATGCGGCGGGTACTGCGACGTCGCAGTCCCTCAATGCCGGACCCGGCAGCGTGCCGCCCCAGCAGCAGCAGCCACCAACGCCCACAGCGGGCGGTACACTGACGGCGAGCGGTGCCAATGCATCCGCCTCAGGAGCCGCCTCAGGGCCTGCGGGAACACAGGGCGGAGCAGCCACGACGACGACGATGCAGTGCGGCACCATTAGCGTAAAGAAACTGGAGATGCAGCAGCAGGCACCGGCAGCACATCAGATACCCATCAAGCCAGAGCCCGGCACGGTGCGGGGGACCACAGTGACGTCCACCACGGACGCCATCAACAATCTGCTGAGCTTGTACAAGCCGCCAAAGCTGAAGCTCAAGGATCCGGACAGCTTCTACGACGATGAGTGGCTGAAGGAGGTCATCTATGACTTTCAATTCCAGGAGAACTGGTGAGTGCCTGTGATCTGTGATCCCTGATCCCAGGATCGTTTCTAAACATTGGCTTTTGCATTCTCTTAGGGACTACCTGCCCGTGAAGCGGCCAAAGATGGAGGAGACGTCCAAGCAGCGAAGGCCGCGGTATGCCAAGAACCTCTACGAGGGTCACACGCACGTCAAGCCGCTTATGCCCTCGCCCGGAGCCGTCTACGGCTCTCAGCTGCTCTCCCTCGACGTACAGGCAGCAGCCAGCGGAGGCGCAGGAGGTGGCAGCAGTTCTAGCGGTGGCCTCGTTGGCATTGCCAACAGCACGGCCAACGGCAGCGATGCGGAGGCCGAGGGCAGCAGCTTCTTCCACGGACTGGACATCAAAACAGAGCCGGGACTGCATTCGCCGTCGTGCAAGGAGACCAAGTCATCGTCGGGCGGCACCACAGGAGCCAGCAGCGGCGGTGGAGGGAATCTCTTCACCGCCGAGGGCCTCAATCCCTCGCTGAACGACCTGGAGCAGCTGTTCGAGACGAGCTCCAACGATGAGTGCAGCAGCGTGCAGATCCATACGCCGCCCGACTCCAACAATCCCTCGAACGGCGGCTGCAGTGCCGTGACCAACACCATCGACGAGCTCAAGCGGAGCACAGCGGTGGCCAGTGCTGTGGTGGCTGCCGCAGCAGCAGCCGCAGCCGTGGCAAGCTCGGGGGCTGGCAATATCCAGGCGGAGGATCTCACCAAAATGTTTCCCACGCCGCCCTCGCACGAGCAGCAGCACCCGAACTCGAGTCCCTGCCAGACGGATGTGGTGATGACGGATCTCAGTGTGGACACCAGCAGTATTATGGCAGCGGCTCCGCCCATTCAGGTGCCAGCGGCGGTCATTGCTGCCGCTGCTGCGGCCGCCTCTGCCTCTGTGACGACGGTGGCCACTGTGGTGGCCTTGAGCACGCAATCAAGCCTGAAGCTGGTCAAGCAGGAGTACAACGTGGAGCTGGGCAGCCCCCTGGAGGAGCCCATCGATGACTGGAACTACGTGTACCGGCCGCCGCAGCAGGAGAAGTTTGTGGGATCGTCGCGCTATGCGCCGCTCACGAATCTGCCCAGCCAGACACTGCCGAGCATCGCAATGCCCGCCAAGTGCTACTACAAGCCCACCTGGAGCACCCACAAGTCGCGGGCGGCCACCCTGGCGAAGGCAGCCGCCGCCCAGCAGCAGCAGCACCAGAAGCATCAGGCCCTCCAGCAGCGCATCCAGCTGCACCAGCAGAAGCTCCAGCAGCTGCAGCATCAGCACCAACAGCAGCAGCAGGCGGCGGCGGCTAGTCATGCGCACCAGAAGCACCAGCAGCTGCACGAACTGTTGTCGGCGGCGCCGAGGACACCGCAGACGGCCATGCCCTCACCCTCCACCGTGCCCCAGCCGCTGAGCAGTGGCGGCAGCCAGTTGCTGCTCAATCAACTGAACTGCCCCCAGGCGCCGCCCGGCAGCTCCATGCAGCAGCTGATGCAGCGGGCGGGCATGTCACCCATGTCCCCGGGACCTGGCGGTGTGGTGGTGCCCTTCCCGCGCAGCAGTCCCATGCTGCGGCAGACGCCCACCCATCCGCCGCCACCATATCCATATGATTTGGGCGTGGCCAGTCCGGCTACGTCCACATCCTCGTACTTGAATCGGCAGCTCAATTCGCAGGAGGCGCAGCCGCATCCGCACACGCCGCAGAGCGTGCACCACATGCAGACGGGCATGCACGGGGGAGGAGGAGGAGGAGGAGGCGGAGGAGGCGGCGGCATGGGATCATTATCGGGCGCAGGAGGAGCGGGCCACCACCACATGGGCCACATGTTGCCCTACACTGGCGATGCGGGCATTGCCAGTGGGCCAGCGTCAGCGGTGGCGGTGCCCTCCGGTCTGCTGCAGGAGCTGCCCGAAGTCAATTCGGTGCTGGTGAACATCCTGCTGTACGACACGGCGCTGAATGTCTTCCGGGATCACAACTTCGACAGCAGCAGCGTCTGCGTGTGCAATGCGGACACCCAGAAGATCGGCAACATACGCGGTGCCGACTCTGGCGTGTACGTTCCCCTGCCGGGTGTCAGCTTCAATCCGTTTCCCGCACATTCCGCCAATGTGGCGGCCACGGCCGGCCAGAGGCTGCTCAACGGGCCCAGCTCCTCGTCCTCATCGGCCGCCTCGTTTGGTGGTGGCCTAAGGATGATCAGTGCCTTTGGAGGATCGCCCGCCTCCACGTCGATGCCCGGAGCTGGCTCCGGGCACGGCCACGGGCCCAATGGCGGCTCCAACTCCTCCTCATGCACGCCACCCAGCAGCAATCCGCACATCACCGGCTACGTGGACGACGATCCCGTGGAGTGCACCTGCGGCTTCAGTGCCGTCGTCAATCGGCGGCTCTCGCATCGTGCAGGACTCTTCTACGAGGACGAGGTGGAGATTACGGGCATAGCCGACGATCCGGGCCGGAATAAGCAGCCCTCGCTGCTCAGCCTCATCCAGAGCCTGTGCCGCAAGAATCCGACCAAGGCGACGGCAGGGCCCGGCGACACGAGCAGCTCCTCCGCTCTGGAAAAGGTCACGGGAGCGGCGGCGGCAGCGGCGGGCGCCGGGCAGCTGGAACATCTCGCCCATGCCATCTTTGACCTGCTGCTGGACCAGTGCTCCATCATCCAGACATCCAGCAGCTCTGTGCATCGCGCCCTGCAGTCCCACCGCCGACGCATGTCACGGCAGCGACGTCTCTTCGGCACTGGCGGTGCCCCGGCCGCCTCAATGGCCTCCATCGCCAATGTCCTGGAGTTTATGGATGCCCACGATGTGATCAGCCTGGCGCTGGAGCAGGCCCGCATGGCCTTTGAGCACCAGCGCATGGACAATATGCTGGAATTCCACGGAAACTCGAGCCAGCAGCTGACCGCCTTCCATGCCCATCCGCCCGCCCTGCGCCAGAAGCTGTCGATCCTCGGCAGCGGCCGCCTCACTGTCCACAAGTGGCCGTATCTGCCCGTGGGCTTCACGCGCAGCAACAAGGAGATTGTGCGCACCATGAACTCCATTCAGCCGATGCTGCAGAACGCCTTCCACTGCAAGTCGCGTGGCGGAGCGGCAGGCTCCAAGGATGCCAGCTCCTACAATACGGTCAGTGGGCCGCTCACGTGGCGCCAGTTCCATCGCCTGGCGGGTCGAGCCTCCGGACAGTGTGAGCCACAGCCAATACCCTCGGTGGTGGTGGGTTACGAGAAGGACTGGATATCGGTGGCGCCGCACTCGATCCACTACTGGGACAAGTTCCTGCTGGAGCCGTACTCCTATGCCCGGGACGTGGTCTACGTGGTGGTGTGTCCGGACAACGAGCATGTGGCGGGATGCACGCGCAGCTACTTCCGTGAGCTGAGCAGCACCTACGAGATGTGCAAGCTGGGCCGGCACACCCCCATCCGCGGCTGGGAGGGCATCCTGCAGGTGGCCGCCACCCGCAATGTGCCGCCCGAGCGAGAGCAGACACCACTGGACGAATGGCTGCGTACCCTCGATCATCCGCTTGCGGAGCAGATTCGTCGCTATGCGGTGGCCTTCCTCCACCAGCTGGCGCCGTATCTCAGTCGCGTGCCCAGCGACAAGACGCTGCTCAATCCGCCCGATGGCAGTGGCAGTGGCAGTGGAGGACACTCTACCAAAGGTAGCCACCATTCTGGCGGCTCTGGCACGGATCCACTGCACAGCGATCCCATCAAGCAGGAGCCGGGCACGGAGGCGCCATTGCCGGCAGCTCCCACTCTGGACAACAGCAACAGCAACCAGCAGGACAGCAAGGACGGCGTAAAGGGAGCCGGTGGTGGTGACGCCAAGCCAGCCCTGATACTGGGCGATCCCCTGGGCGTGGGCGAGACGCTGGAGGACATCAATCCAGTTGCCATAGTCCTGTACGTGGTCAATCCCTTCACCTTCGCCTCGGACAGCTGCGAACTGGAGCGCCTCGCTCTGATTGCTCTGCTCCGCTGCTATTCGGAGCTGCTGAAGGCCGTGCCGGACTCGGTGCGCGCCCAGATGAACATCCAGATCATATCCCTGGAGTCGGTGATGGAGCTGGGGCCGTGCGGCAATCGCAAACGCTTCTCGGACGAGATCAAGTGCCTGGCCTTGAACATATTCTCACAGTGTCGCCGGCATCTGGTCCATGCGCAGTCGGTGAAGAGTCTCACGGGCTTTGGCACGGCCGCCAACATGGAGGCGTTCCTGAAGACCAAGGACGAACCGAACCGACGGGCCTACAAGATGTACACGGCGCCCTTTGTGCTGGCGCCCATGTACGAGCGGACGGACAAGACGGACTTCTCGCGCTCAGCGGGCAGCATGCATGGCCAGAACGAGCATCGCTACTCGGTGATGTACTGCAACTATTGCCTCAGCGAGGACCAGGCCTGGCTGCTGGCCACCGCCACCGACGAGCGCGGCGAGCTGCTCGAAAAGGTGTGCATCAACATCGATGTGCCGAATCGCGCCCGTCGTCGCAAGGCCCCCGCCCGCTTTGTGGCTCTCAAAAAGCTGATGGACTTTGTCATGGGCATCATCTCGCAGACGTCGCAAATGTGGCGGCTGGTCATCGGACGCATTGGCCGCATCGGCCACAGCGAACTGAAGTCGTGGAGCTATCTGCTGAGCAAACAGCAGCTGCAGAAGGCCTCCAAACAGTTCAAGGACATGTGCAAGCAATGCACCCTCATGTATCCGCCCACCATCCTAAGCGCCTGCCTTGTCACCCTCGAGCCGGATGCCAAGTTGCGCGTGATGCCCGATCAGTTTACGCCCGACGAACGCTTCTCCCAGATCTCCATGCAGAATCCGCTCTCCACGCCGCAGGATGTGACCTGTACCCACATTCTGGTCTTTCCCACGAGTGCTGTCTGTGCGGTGAGTCCTTTACGAGTTGAGATTTCTTTTGGGATTCGTTTCTAATATTTGAACTATTTCCTCCTGTGCAGCCCTTTACCCGCCAGTTCCAGAACGAGCCCCAGGTGGATGATGATTTTCTCACCTTTGAAGAGGAGGGAAATGAGGACTTTAGCGATGCGGACATTGGGGAACTCTTCTGGGGAGACAGTAAGTCGATGCGATGCTCTCCGCTCTGCCAATCTGCTGCAGATTCTAATGGCAAATCTTCTTTTCTTTTGTAGCACACATGGATCGGGTGTCGAATCATGGCAGTCCAGGGCGCATGGAGGACAATCGCAGCTGGCAGAGCGCTGGAGGCAACAATTTCAAATGCACCCCGCCCCAGGAAGTGGAGGAGGTAAGGAATAACAAGTCGCTAGCATCAGCGGAATCTCTAACATCCTTTTCTCTAACCCCTTTCCAGGTGGGATCCCTCAATCAGCAGCCCATATCGGTGGGCTATATGGTCTCAACGGCGCCGACGGGCCGCATGCCAGCCTGGTTTTGGTCTGCCTGTCCGCATTTGGAGGAAGTGTGCCCCGTCTTCCTGAAAACGGCACTCCATCTGCATGTGCCGAACATACAGATAGCCGACGATATTCTCAATTCTACGAATGCCCATCAGTCGGCGAATGACCATCCGCTGGACTCCAGCCTGACGGCGGATGTGCTACGCTTCGTACTGGAGGGATACAATGCCCTCTCCTGGCTGGCCCTCGACTCCAATACGCACGACCGCCTCTCCTGTCTGCCCATCAATGTGCAGACACTAATGGATCTGTACTATCTGACGGCAGCCATAGCCTAAGGACCGACCCTCACAGAATGAAAGACCGAAAGATCGAAAGACCATTTCACAATCTTCAATCAAACGCAGTCGCATGCTTCCGTTTGCTATACTTCCACTAGCTATACATACTCCTTATAATCCACAACAACTCCATAAACTCCAAGAAAAAACTCCAACTCCAAACCACAAACAAAAGAATAACATAAAGCAATTAACAAAGAATCGAAGTTAACAGAATCAAAACACCAAGAAAGCAACAGCAGCAGCAGCTGCAGCTGCAGCAGCAACAACCATTAGCCTTAGATGAAATTAGAAGACGAGTATAAACAGAAACAAATGTTGAAGCAACCAGCAACAGCAACGCACAGATTACTTAGCATTACTTAACCGGAGAGCCTTGTAACACAGAACGATAAAGGTACAGGGAGGATACCGAGAGAGAGAGAAATCAGCAGCAGCAGCAACAACAGAAGATAGAGAGGAGGAGTAGAGAGTTACCCATAAGTCTTGAACAGCAACAGCATTACTATTTATTAAACTATTGAGAATTGTCAAGTGTAAAGTGTAAAGTGTAGACAAAGTGTCAAAAATGTCTGACGATTGCAAGATTGTTTGTTTTTAACACCTATATTATTTTTTATACATATACATAGGCCTGGGCGTTCGATTAGTGTTTAATATTTATAAATATACAAGAAGGAACCGATAATGATCATAGAAGAGGAGGAGCAGGAGTCTTAGGATCAGAGCAGAGGTCATTGATCGAGGATCAAACAACAACAACAACACACACACACACACACACACACGTAGGCATATATTATACATACACATAGAGCATATACAATACGCAAAAGGACGAAAAAGAGAGAGAGAGGATCGCAGCGAATCGGATCCGGAGGAGAGAGCGCATGTTTTAGGATTAAGTAAAAAGTTTGTACATATTTACAACAAAACCGATTGATTGAAAAAGCAGCAACAAAGCAAACGCAAAAGCAAAAGCAAAAAAGAAAAAGTGTAATTATACAAATATTAGGATTAGTTTACAACAAATTGGATGGAGTGCAAGTGGAGCAGTCGTTTAAGTCTAATTAAATTAAATTAAATTAATAAATTGTGTAAATTTTTGTGCAAAGTGAGCATTAGTTTAAATTTAAATTATACAACAAACAACCAACAAAAAAGAAAAATCCAAAACAAAACCCCCATCCCCAAAAACCAGAAACATATAAACGGTATACTGTAAAATTCGCATATACATATATATAACACTATATATATATTATATATATACTATATATATCTGGACGCCAAGCGCAGAACGGAAGAGAGAGAGAGAGAGAGAGCGAGATCGGAGTAGTATGTAGAGTTAGATGATGAGCGTTAGGATCAGTTTGTTTTTAAAAATTCATTTTGTGTATTCTGTTTCGTCTGTTTTCTGTATTCGTTGTATTGTACCTATATTCGTGTAATATCCCTAGGGCGATTTTTGTACTTTACCCTGCATACCCCCCCAAAGCCCAACGCCCCACCCTTCCTTCCCACTCACATAGCCAATTGTCAAATAATGAAATACTTAAATGAAAATGTGTACAAATTAATATATAATGCCTGTAAACAAAAAAGGATAGCTTTCTGCAACACCAACAACACTCACCAACACCAACAACAAAAACAAAAACACACCACAAAATTGATTTTGCACGTTGAAACGATTTTCGCTAGGCTTAAGTTTAAAAGTAATGACAAAAAAAACAAACAAACAAAAAACAAAACAATTATTAAACAATGAAATTATATTTTTACCTGTGTATTTTAATTAGCATAAATTGTATAAACGAGAAAAGTACGATTACAAAGACGGTTTTCTAGTAATTATCACACATCCACTCCCCCCAACCGACAACCCACAACCCCTAAATAAACACACACACACACTTGCATATCTTTTAAGTAGTTTGGTTTTTCATTTAGTATTCTATTCTATTTTTTTTGTGTAATAAACAAAAAACATATTTGCAAAAAGAGTTTTTGATTTCTGATTTTTCCTGCGCTCTTAAAATCCACTTCCAACATCCCAAAACTAGATCCAGCCATATCCATATCCTTCCCCCCCCACAAATGAATTATCACACGCTGCTGTATATATGAAAATGCTTAAACAATCATTGATTGGTATGATTGCGCTTGAAGAGTTTTTCCTAGCTAAGGTTTCAGTTGAGTTGCCGCCAAAAACAAAAAACATACTCTCGTTCATTTCCCCGGTTGGAATATTCCAGGGGTCGCCAATTAAGAGCAAATAATTAATAGCAATAATAAGGTGTAAAGCACAACCAAATAAAAAAATAGAGATTTACATATAGAATATATATATTCAAGCAGGAAGGATGGATGGATGGAAAGAAAGAACCCCGCAACAATTGACAACAAGCATTCATAGCAAAGAAAAAGAAAAACAAAAACTTAAATAAAATATATATACACATACATATATAAATGATTAAAACCAAAAAACATGGTGGGAACAGATTTTTTAATAAGCCAACTCGATTTACGAGTTGAAAATTTTCTAAAATTAAAAGATATTAGCCCTAAAAACCAAAACAAACAAAAACTACATAAGTAAACCCAATTAATGTCCGCGCGGTTTAGGACTAGCAGACAACAAAAAAACAAAACAAAAAGCAAACAAAAAAAGTTATATACACGAGATGTTCATTGTAAAGTTAGTTAAGGGCTTGAGAACTAAAGAATAAATCAGAGAGTGGAGAAGGATGATGATTCGAACAAATACTAAGTGCATTAAGCGTTGGAGGGGAAGGAAGAGAAAACCATTTACTAGCCTAAAAGTATTCAATTATTAAGTGAACTTAGTTGGAGCGCCTAAAAGAAGTCAAGTTGGTTTTGATGGATGCTACAGATGATGATATTAAGACAACACACCCCCGAAGATGCAATTGTTTCTAAAACAAAAACATACACAAAAAAAAGAGCGCCACACACACACACATACACACTATATATATAATATGTACACACCTAAATTAGGATCGGTATGAGAACATGAGAGAAGAACATCTAGCTACAAAATTGCATATTATATACATACATACATATATATATATATATACATTTATATATACAAGTACACTTTATATATATATTGGGCAAAAACAAAATGTTGTTGTAGTGCAATTACAATTAAGTTTTGTTTTGCCACCAATCCAGAGTAAAACCAACAAAAACAAAAACCAAAACCAAACCGCATATATGTACGATTATATGTATAGCAAAAGGTCAAAAAGTGGGTCAAGATTTTTAAGATGACGAAAGAATAACTGACGACATTGTTTGTAATTCCTTTTACAGGCGATACCAAATACAAAACAAACTAAAACAAGAACATTTTTCAAATAAAAACTAACATCAAATTCAAAAACATTCAAAATGTGCATTCGTTTCTCGTTTCTACGCCAAGGTAAAGTCTGAAGTGGGTTGTGGTGTTTATTTTGCTGTGGGGGGATAGCATTTTGGTCATTCGCTATATCCTACGCAGCATGCGGTCCTTAGAAATTTCAGGAACGTTCTGGAAGTGTTAGCATCGCTGGTACGGCTCTTGGCCTGATTTTCGAGGTGCACAATTAAAGGAGTCGCAAGCTGCTAAGGTTATGCGAGATTCACACTTTATACACTTCAATTTATTGTATGATATTATATCTATACATGCATAATGCATAATTCAACTGTACGCAATTGCAATTGCAGATATAACATTTTATTGGGCGAAATATAAATATAAACATATTTCGCACAATATGTCATATCTGAAATGACGATTGAGTACGTTCTTATGGCTTAATAATAAATGTAATATTAACTTACTATTAATTGTAATTTATCTCTCAGTTTGGCTGTATGCTTCTGTTAAACAAAATAGCTTAGGCTCCGCTATTGAGCATTTTGCGCACGTAGACGACCGCCACCCACTGTGTGAAAGTATGCGTTCAACTTTTCGGTGAACTCTTCGCCGCCCGCATGGCTGCAGTCGTCCCAGGCCTTCACCAGCAGTTCCATTTCGTGGGCGGTGTCCATGTCCTCCAAAGCCACTGTAACACGGAAGGGATAAACTGAAGAGTTGCACTACAGTGAGAATGCACGCACTGCTACTCACTGACTACCATCTCTTTGACCTCCCACTCTGCATCGAAGCGCGAGCGCAGGAACTCGAGAATCTCCAGCACCTGCGGCGTCCTCAGAGTTGGGGTTATCTGAAACTCCGAAAGGATTTCATCGTCCATATACATGCGCGTGCAGCTCAAAAATTGACAGGTCTTGTCCCGGGTAATGCGCAGTTGTTCCAGAATTCGTTTCATCATAGCGATCGGACTGGTTAGACGGTCGTACAGCATGCGAATCTGTTTGTCCGCCGCTCTAAGGGCCCGCTCAGTTGTTAGATGGTTTAAACGATTCTCGGACTCAAAAATGTGCAGCCGTAGGCGCGAAAAATTGTTCATGGCAGCGCGACCACTTCTTATATAATACAGCCAGGACTCTGTCATGTTGCATATATCCACGCAAATTCTCCTGAGATGATATTTGGAAGATTCTACTTGCATTTTGGTAAACTAAAGGCTAAGTCGGGCGGTTGCAAATTAAAATAAAATGAAGTTCGTTCGTTCGTCTAACGACAGTGTGGGACAACGCAAAACTTAAGCTAGGCTACAGTGTTGATAAAGAGATAGCACACTTTATCACAGTATTGTGAGTATTTTTATGAGTCTCTAAAATTTAGATTCTTAATTGATTATTTACGACATTTGTGCCTCTATGTCAGAGAAGTTTCATTTGTGTGTTTATCAGTTATCTATCCCAGGTAAATTCAGGCTCTAGTATGGTGGTTGTCTCTTAAAACTATATATTTTTGCAAGGAAGTTGGAACATATTTATATATACACATACCCTGCCATAATTTGATTATTTGATTCTTTCCTTGGTTTTAAGATTTGCTTAAATACAATCTGAAATCATTTTCAGGAATCCCACCTTATCCAAGAAGAATTGTGTTATTTGCATTTGTGACGTCACAAAAGTCTAACCTAACGGTTAAATATGGCAGGGATGGAGTGAAAAAATACCAAAGCAATGGCTGCACCCGATTACCGATCAGTATCAATCGATTTTAGCAATTAGAAAACGCGCATTAAATTTGTGCATTGTTTTGTGTGCTTCACAAGAGATTCCCACAACTTTCTCTGATCTGCATTAGAATGGTGCCACAACACTGTTGCAACTGTGTTGCCGCGTGATCTGTTGCCCCTTTTGGTAAGCTCCTGGTCTCCATTCCACTCTTTCTTTCTGTCTCTGTCTCTGTCTCCTTTGGCTCCTCGTTGCGTGCCAAATTGATCAAGTGGCCGTGATTAAGCAGCCGACTAGCTCTGGTCGCATTAATTGCGATCATGTTGCCACTTGCCCCGCATCACGCACCCCGCACCCTGGTCGGGGCTGACAATTAGCTGCGTGACGCTTGCCACAACTAGGAAACGATTTTCTTTTGCTTTATTTGTGGGTCGGCGTCGCCAGCATCTGGAGTTCAAGATGTGGAGGGATGGGGGAGCACTGGAGATGCGACTGAAGCTGTAGTTGGGCCTGTCAGGCGGCATGAATTACTGTGCGTTGATTGCCTTTAAGGCCTGATTGCAACAGCAACAGCAGAGCAGCACCAGCCACAAAGCCAAAAAAAAAAAAATAAGAAAAACGTTGCACAAATTGCTGTGCTGGCGTCGGCGGCTGCTGTTCTTTTGAGGCATGCGGCAAACGAGTTCTGGTGGAAGGAGATGAGTGCCCAACTGTATTAATTATCAACAAATCATTTTTGCAGCCCCGAAAGCAGCATTTATCAGCGATTATGCATGGACAAAGGAATCAATGGAGGAGGAGGCGGAGAAGGCCGACTGCAAGTGTCGCACAACATGTGTCTTGTGGATGCCATGTGGAACGCAGGCCAGCGATGGCGATCTTGACGTGAAGCTCTGCACAAATTTGTCAGGCAAGAGGCAGGGGCAGAGCGCTCCAGACTGCAGCCTGCAGCTTGCAGGCTCATGGCGTCGGCTACATGACATGGCATTGATAAGCACAAAAAATTGCATCGCCGCCGTCGCAGCATCGCAATTAAGATATTTTTATGTAAATTAATGAAAACAGTCGGCGAAGAAGGAGGCCACTGCGTAGGCAGGACCGAAAGCAGACGACCACGAATCGGAGTTGGAGACGGAGCTGACTTACGTGCGTGCAACTTACAAATAAGTACAAGAGTCGCCACGATTGGGAAGCGGAGCCAGCCCAATTGTGCATTTTTAATTGGAAAGCGCACAGAACCCATTCCAGGCCCAGGCCTCGGCGAAGGGCACAACGATCCTCTGCTCTGGCAGCAGCCCCACAAAAACTGACGCACCGAAAATTTATTGTTTCATGCGGAATCGAAGCCGATCCACTGCGCGCGGCATTGCTAACAGGCAAAGCCGGGCAACCCGGCAACGAGAACGCGGCACCACCGCATGTCGAATGGCAAGAGCAAACAGCAAAAAGGCCGCAAGGCCTCTGGGCCAAGGAGACGATGCCCGGCCTGGTCGCGCTCTTACTTAGGCATTTATGTCTGGCACTTGACACATTTTGTTATGGCATTTTTCAGCTACCGCGCGCCTCTGACTCCGTTTGACCCAATCAAAATTCCTGGATCTTGCACTTGAATGCGTTTAATTTGTAAGATTTGCCTCGCTTCGAACGGGAAGTGTTGAACTTTATGTTTCACAAAAGCCCCTGACACGAAAGCAGCTGTGGGGGGATGTGGCTTAAGGAACGGCAAGAACTGATTGGATTACGGTGGAAACACACAGAATGTAAGGTAACGTACATATATAATGTATGACTAAACTTTGGAATATGCAAAGACTGAGCGTCTACCATGATTGTTCTTCATTGATTGATTGTTTGTTTTAGAAGGGGAACAACTTAACCAGAAGAGAGCGCTTCGAGAGGTGGGGGCTCCACGAGCGAAACCTATTCACACTGTCCTTCCTTTATATGAGGTATGTATGCACAAATCAAATTTATTTCTTAATTTTAATGAAGACTTTGCTGAGACAGAGAGACAGACTATCCTCAGACGCCTCCAGACTTAATCAAGCATCAACTATTAATTAGTGGCAATATTTGTAATCAAATCCCGCAGACAAATGCTTATGGAGAACATTCTGTAAAAGCCGTGGAAAGTCTCTACCATTTTCTTTCCTGTGAGAAAGAAGCCCCCCTCTCAAGCCCCCCGAACCCATTTCAGATCAGTTAAAAGTTGTTTTGCTTGGGTCCCTCTTTTTTGTTTTTCATTACTCCATTTCGCATTTCGCATTTCCGATTCCCAGTGGAGCCCATCATTTCTGCATTATTAATTCCTTTTGCAGCCTAAGCCAACTTATTTGCCTGCTTATCTACGCAGCACATCCTTTGGTCTGTGCGCACTGCGCACTTAATGGGGATCCCGCTGCCAACTATCCAACTATCTGGAGAATAGGGTGGCCCCTCAGTTGCAGTTGCAGTTGCAGCTGCAGCATGGGCAGGCATGCTGTTGCCGGTAGCGTTTGCTGATCGCTGGACAACCGAAACGAGAGCACCAGAAAGAGAGAGAGAGAGAGAAAGAGAGGAAACCTGCAGGCAGAGAGTCGAGCCGGTCTAGGATGGGTGAACGGGGGACAAGTTGATTTATTCTAATCTGTATAAGCGTTGCTATAATAAAGCAAAAGAGCTTACGGAGTGGAGTGGACAATGCTCGCCAGCGGCTTTTGGCCATGTCCGAAGCTGGGGCCCAAATTGCAGATCAAACTCCATTCGGGGACTGGTTTTAGGTCTCCATCCATGCCAGGCTCCACGAGCATCTATGTGTCTGTGTGTGTGTGTGCCACAGTCAGTTGATTCTGCATTGTAATTGGATTTGAGCCGCCGGTGCAGTCGCAGCTGCGGATTCTAATGACTCAGCAAAGTGGTAGGGAGACAGCGACTGAACTGGAGATCCTGTCCCGTCCTCCGTCCTCTGTCCGCAGTCCTTTCCTGTTCCAGGGACCGGCCCTGTTCCATTGTTCTTGGTTTTGGCCGAGGCCTTAAGCTCAACCTCTCACTGGTACTAATGCACTCCCGGACACCCAAAATGAAGATGCAGCCGCTAATTTATCGACTCTGCGAGACTCCAGAGGAAGCTGCTGCTGCTGCTGCCGACATGCAAAGTGTCGCCCGGTTCGGGTCCCGGGAATGTTATCTCCGCCTCAGCGTTGCTGCGAAGTGTCGCTGCGACGACAACAGGCGTGGCGAGGCGCGGCGCGGCGGCGACGAGAAAGGAACGCTGATAACGAAGGCGGAGGACGCAGCCAAGGCGAAGGCGTCAATGGGTTCGAGTAGAAGCAGCAGTAGCAGCAGTCTGCTCCTTGGCTGCAACACCCACTTGGTTGTTTGGAGTCCTTATCGGTGGTACTCTCTGTTCTGTCCCGCCCTGCCACAACTTTGTTGTAGGCTCTGAGAAGGAGAGAGAGAGAGGAGCGTCTGTTGAAGTCTGGGCAGAGCATCTAAGCATCTGTTGGAACTGTTTTGCATCAAGTTTGGAATTCCGAAAACGAATTTTGAACACTTATTAAATTTTTCTCCTAGTTTTGGCAGCAGCTTTTAATCCTAGAGCTCTCCACAGCCCATAAATTAAACTTTTGGGAATTTTTCTATATTGTTCTTTCTTCTTTCAGATCTTTCAGATATTTTCGCACGTTTAAGGTGCTTCTAGGGGGAATCTTTTTGAACAAAATCCCCACAAAATGGTGAGCTATTCCTTGAATCAAGAATTTCATTTGGCAGGGTATTTCTGATTCTCGTGGACTCTCCCTCAATGGCTTTCGCATTGCGTTTTATTCAAATTTGAACATGTTGCTACACGCAAAGACCAACCAAGTGGGAGGATGAGCAGCAGCAGCAGCAGCAGGAGGAGCAGCAGGTGGTGTGGGCGGGGCGGGGCGGCAGCCAAATCACGTAATGTGCGATGCAAACATTGTTAAAACACTTGTGGCCCGAAGAGAGTGTCGGCCCCCAGCCACTTCTCTTCTCTTTTCTTCTCTGCATTTCACTTCACTTCTCCCTACACTTGATTTTATTTTAGCGCGAATTTGCATTTTCAATTCTCTCCCGCTCCCGCTGCAGCTGCAGCTCCTTGGGCAGAAAGTTGCTGGAAGGAGTAGCAGGAGAAGGAATGGGAAGGGGAACGTGAGTTCCGTACACTACCATGGCCAAAGCAGAAGACTTTGCGTTTATTTAAATTTATTTTCCTAGAATGCCACAAGTCGCCATCTCTGTCGCATCGATGTGCAATTTGTTTGTCGCCTGCAAAAAGACTTCCAAACTGCATCCGTTCCCGGAGTGAGTGTGTCTCTGTCCCAGTGGCTGCCACTGCCGACCCATGCCTCCCTGTCTGTCTCCTGAGTTACCCAGTCCCTCCCCTATCTGTCTCGCTCTCCCGTCTTTCTTCCTCCTGTGCCCCTGACTGTCTGGAAGTAGCCTCCCAGATCTGCCATCCAACTGCGTCTGCGTATGAAAATTAATTGTTGCCACTCGTGACGACGTCGACGACAGCAGGAGCAGCAGCAAAGGCAGCAGTGGCAGTGGCAGCATTGGTAGCGGCAGCAGCAACATTGCAAAACCCAAGTGGGCGGCCGGCAATGAGATGAAATGGGCG